AGAGGAGATAATCTGTGTGAATTATTTTTAAATTGTGGGTAAGGGTAGATAGCTCCCATTGTTCTGTGACCTGTCAATCATAAAACCTGGGGTCATATTTCATCATTTTTATCTGAAGTTGTACCCATGGATGTATAAAGAATAGTTCTACCGCAAAGTTATTCTCCGTGGGGACTTCCGGCAACAGTCTTGATTCTGATTGGCCAGAAGACTCGAAAAAACATCAACAAAGATGTTTTATTGAGTGGATGATCACTACATGACAGAAGTTTTCAAAACCGTTTATGGTCTCCGGTACTTCCAGTCCAAAGCTTACTGCATGCACAGCGTTAGAAAATCGGGCCTTCAAAATAAAAGTTTGACTTTTTTCCCAAAAAAAAAAGAATATTCCAAATTGTTTTTTTCAATTTTTTTTTCTTCACTCACACATCCGCAACCCACTTGAAACGGGTCCGCGACCCAAACCCACCAGTTGAGAACCACTGATCTAGGTAACAGTCTTTGTCATTTATTCTAGCAATGGTTGTCTACATGTCATCTCTTTTGAGAAACAGCTTCCTGTGTATTTGTACGTGATGACTGACCCTCTGTTGGACACCAGCATACTGGTGAGTCATGTTGGTCAGAGCCTTCTTCTTCTTGGCGTCTCCATCATGCTTCTTACGCGCGTCTTCCAGTTCCTTCCTCTCCTTTTCCTCCTGTTGGACAGACATAAATAAAACAAACAAAAACAATGTATTTAATGTACAAGTTGAATAGACAGAGTATCAGACAGGGATACAGCCGATAGCTCTTAATCTTTCATCCCTGGGCAGGTGAACAAAAGTAATAACATTAATACATATTAACTAGTACGTACTAAGACAGAACAGTTGTGGTTCTCTAAGTACATTTTCAGAGTTTAGTTTTTGTTGAACCACCTTTATAGCATCATAAAAAGTATACAAATCCGGAGAAGTTTTATTATTGAGTGAATTTCAATGTTGTATTGCTTTACTGGAAAAGGCATTATGATAACAGTGACAGTAAATGTAGTATCAAGCCAAAACAAGGAGCCATGGCGATCAGTAGTTTGGACGGCAGCTGATGAGCGGTTACCATAACTTTGGTCATTTGATTTATTTCTATTCTTTGAGCCCCCCAAAGCAAACACTTCAAGTTGATCAACATCTGTGATTTTGAGCTGAAGCTGCACACGGCTATTGTGTAACTCCTCATCAGTAAACTAGAGTAGACATACTGAAAGCACACACACACACACATATCAAAAGAGATTAGAGGGGACTCACAGCAATACGAATCTGCCTGTCCTTCTCCAGCTCGTCCCGGACCCTCTTCTGCTCAGCCCTCTCTGTGCGACGCTTCTCCTGCTCACACACACACAGTTATTGTTTGCCGGGTGCTGCATCACTCCAGTGATCGTCACGCTCTCCTGGGAGACTTACGATCCTGTTGACGAGAGCGAGGAGCTCGGCCTCGTCGTTCTTCCTCTGGATGAAGTGGGCCTCGATCAGAGACTGCAGCTCCGTCAGATCCTTCTCAAGACGCTTCCTGTGGATGTCCTACACACACACACACACACACACACACACACACACACACACACACACACACACACACACACACACACACACACACACACACACACACACACACACACACACACACACACAGCTTGTATTGCATACTACCGAGGACCTCGAGTGACTGCATTACAAATAAGGGTAAGTCCTATATCTCTTATAATCTAGAGGCAAAATGATTAGAGCCAAATATCTAGATTCTAGACAAAATCAAATGAGACCTATTTGTAGAAACATAGATAGTCTAATAACAATCAGACACGTCGCTACAAAGAAATAACAAATCAAAAAATGGAGTCATCATTTACATCAAAGTCGACTTTCTCTCCTCCCTCTGGGATCTTGGGCACAGTCAACACTGGAGCCACTAACCTAAAATAATATGTCAGGGTTAGAAACAGATATTTAGATGACAGGTTCATCCATCACTTGTTCATGTGTTTAGATTACAAATTCACAAAACAAATAGACTTACTTTGGTTTGGGTTTGGATTCATCTATTATAAAAAAAGGAGAATCACAGTTACCAAAAGGAAAACAAATGATGATGGTGTTTATTTAACAAGTATCTGAGCTACAGTACCTTCACCTGCAGCTGGAGCCTCTACAGGAAGGACAAAAGGACATGTTAGTGCATCGGCTGCAGAGGACTAACACATGTCGTTTGTTTGAAAACACTATTCCACTCAGGTTAGACCTCTACTTTTTATATTTTGATATGAAAAACTTCTTTAAGTCTAAAGAATATCTCTTTGCTTTGTCATTCTGGGTGGATTTGAGTGCTCTAGGGGGTTTCAAGGCATGAAAGCTTTGTTTACTTTTGCACAAAGGAGGCATTTCTTTGGAAAAGTACATTAAAAGAATAAGTATAAGCATGACGAATGGATTTATCCGTACCAGGAATTGAAAGAGATTGAAACCTTTCTCATGAATACCTCCGCACTAAGGTTGTCTTGCCCCGACTAAAGCTCTGTGCGCATGGTGGCTGCACACAGAGTGATGTTCAGTCACACTAACATGCAGCTCTAACAGAGGCAGGGGGCTGTACCTTCTTCTCCAGGCTCTTTGGGAGGAATACGTTGTTAGAATAAGGAAGCAAGAAAAAGAGAAAAAGTTTATTAGTACATGTTCATGACAAACAACGAATACGTTTATAACACAAGAGAAACTAAACACACTGAAGGTAAAGAATATAAGGTGTGCCATATGGTTTAAATATATATGTATTGGAGCTGCAGAGAGTGGGCTGTACCTTCTTCTGCAGGCTCTTTGGGAGGAACACGTTGTTAGAATAAAGAAACAAGAAAAAGAGAACAAGTTTATTAGTACATGTTCATGACAAACAACGAATACAAGAGGGACAAAACACACTGAAGGTAAAGATTATAAGGGTGTGCCATACAAGGCGTGTTTTAAATGTTTTATTGTGTTGCACTGCTGGAGGAGCCTGTGACCTAAGATTTTCATCGTCATGACTACACTGTATGACTGTACACCAGGGGGGTCAAACTCAAGGCCCGGGGGCCAAATCAGGCCCTTGGTGGATTTAATTTCGGCCCGCAGGATAATTTCTAATTACTATTAGATCTGGCCCGCCGGTATATTGCACGCACACCTTCACTCCATCCTGAGGGTCTCCTCAGCTCAGAGCCTGAGCCCAAACATTGATGAACTTGCACCCAAGATGAGATGCCAAGTATCTGAACTAGCATCACAGAGCAGCAACTGAGTTTACATGGATGTTTCCTTCTGCACTTTGTTTCTTGAGACAACAGGGCATGTTTGGTTTGTTCTTTGAGGGAAATCGTTTTTTTGAAGCTGTTTTTGGAAAAATGTGATCATAAGAAATGACTCTGCAGATAGAGCCATAAGAAATGAATGCAACTGATTATTTAATGTTTAATGTTGTTTTTATTGGCAATAATTTAAGCTTTGTTAGTTCCAGGTTTAATATGTGCAATAAGTTCATTTCAATATGTTCTGCAATAAACGTTGAACCAGTCCGGCCCACGACTAGTACCCATTTTAAAATGTTGGCCTACTGTCTATTTGAGTTTGACCCCCCTGCTGTACACTGTTGGAGCAGGAGAGAGTGTGCTTTACCTTCTTCTGCAGGCTCTTTGTGAAGGGAATCAGTTGCATGTATAATAAAAGCAAGAAAAAGAGAAACGTTTATTAGTAAATGTTCATGACAAAGATGTGACCATTGAAAGATGGATATGATATGGTACATTAGAACATAATGTCATTTCCTTCTGCCGTAGGAAGTTCTAAGGTGGTGTGAAGTAGTGAAAATATGATTAGATGTTTACAGTGCACATTATATAAGAGAACATTTCTGTCAATTATATAATTAGAAATATGAGAGGTCCACTACTTGGTTTAAGAAAAATAACAAGATGTTAAAACGTTTTAGAAAATCCCATTAAATGAAATGTGCTGAAATGGGTTTTGGGCTGGGTTTTACTTGCATGCAAACAGTACATTTGTCTAAGTGGATGTCAAATTCTTCACAAATGTATTCAGTGATTAGCAAAGACTGAAGACACAAAAGCTAATATTGAAACAGGGAAATGAATGGTTTAGGATTAAATGAGGTAGAAAAGGAGTCGGTAATGCATTGAGCAGATGAGCACAAGAGTCTGTGTTCAAATGAGAAAAGAGTATGCAATGCATGTCAGATTCATGATGGCACACGCACAGCTACACAAACAACTATTATTATACTATAAAAACAGACAGTATGGTGCATAGTCATATTTAAAGAGGACACTTACCTTCTACACCAGGTGCAGCTTCTTCTACTTCAACTTCCACAACTATACAACAACAAGTAATAAAGCCAAGTTATGCTATTCAACATGACACAAACACAACAATATGCCAGATGTGTGTACATTTAAATGAAAGATTTACTGACAGAAGCAAGTCATGCAAACCTTCTCTTGTTGTATTCATGACTGAGAGAACAAAGTATGGATTGATGGGTCGATGGTCAGACTCCGAGCTTTGTGATATCGTCTCTTGGGAAGAACTGAATCTATTGCTGGTGTCTGACTGAGCTAATCTGATCTGGGATCAGATGATGAGCCTGTGAGCTGTAACAGGAATCATCTAATCCACATTTTGGTTCAGCTTTCACATTTCCAATTATATTGATCTAACACTACACAGCGGTGGAACAGTTAAAGGGGTCCTTTCTCAAGTTTAAGTGGCAATTCAAAACTAATGAAAATCCTACTTTAGTAAAAGCCCACAAGTTGTGTCAGCTTAATGTCCAACGTGGAGTAAATACTCCTTCTGAAATGTAGAGAGCTAAAAGGTATGAAGTATTATATTCAAACACACAAACTAAAGGATAACATGTTTAAAGATGATGTACTTTCCAGCTTATGCTCAAACGTTTTTTACCAAGAAATATCACAATGCTTCTTTGACCAAATTCTGGCATACGTTAAATATCTTGAATGCAATCCTATAAACATATATACAATTACATCAGAGCGAGCCAAGACTTCACTTGGCAGCGACTTCAGAAAACTTTCCATGCAACTTTTGTCAGATCACAATTTGAAAGATTTATGAATGGAAATAACTCAGTTAATAAGTTGCTGTTTCACAGGAAGCTGACAGAACGGTGTTAACAAATGAAGTGTCAGGATCAAACAGAAAACACAGTATTCCAGTCGAAAACCAAACCACAGACTTCTACCACACATTACACAGCATGCACACAACATATTTGATCAGACAGCAGAGGGTAAACAAGGCACACACACATGAAGCCGTGCCGAAGCTTTACCTTCCTCCTGCTGGGCTTCTTCCTCTGAGCAGACATAATAAGGTCAGCTACGTCTAGCTACACAAGCTTGAAAGTGACATTCTGCTTTCAAGAACCACTGAATGCTCTCAAAGGCTTGCTTACCTTCCTCCCTGCAAAAGAAAAGAGATGCTGCTGTGAACTTCTCCAGCTATCGGCTGCTCAGATCTGTGTGTAGATTTGACTTAAACCACTAGAGACGCTACTTAAATGCAATGGATGTAACTTACACCATCTCCTCCACCACTTCTTCTTCTCCGGACATCTTCAACTCCAATGACCTGCATCAAGGAATCAAAGAATCACCTCTTTGGCAGACAGAAAAGATGAAGTCCTTGTTTTGAGATAATACGTTTTAGAAGTGACTCTCACACATACATAGGTGATTCAATCCTCTTGGCCCAAATACAATTAGTCTGGTTATGTTTATTTTTGAATGTTTAATGTTCTTCTTGCCATGTTTTGGATCTTCTTGATATATTCCCCTTGTCTTATCGACTGCGGTGTTTTTACAACCCCTGGGATTCCTTTCCCTCGGACAGATGGTTCCTATCTCTCTTCTTTTATTCTCCTTTCAGCACCTTTGTGCAAACAACTAAACCAAAGCCTCGGCTACATGTTGAAAGATTGGAGCAATTGTAGAATTGAAAATGATTCAACCATGGGCACTGAGAGCAGAGGCTTTGAACAGCTCCAGGCTAATCCTCAGCCATTTCCTGTTGGCCGCGCTCAATGCAGCCGGCTGGAGTGTGAGCAGCGCTGAAACCACCCAGACCGAGCGCCTCTGAAGCTGAACATTTCATACTGCCTCAGATGTGTTCACTCCTAAACAATGTTCCAGGTGCTCAAAAGGCTCTGGAGTGGTGCGCTGCGAGAAATGTCCATCATAACATTCACAATACGTCTGATATTCACGCACATTATCCTTTTTCTGATTCATGCTGTTTAAAAAAGGGGCCCTTTTAAGGTTTTCACTTTCCTGTTGTGTGTTGTATAGGTTTGTGTGCATGTAAATGGTCTGCAAAGGCTACAATCCCAAAGTTCCCCCAGAGAACTCCACACATACTTTGCCTGAAACGCCTCCATTGGACTCATTTGTTCACTTGTGTAACTTAATGACATCACTATATAACACTTCCGCTTCTATTGGCTACGATCCAACACATTGTACGTGCTAGGCTAAGGAGGGACATCTTTAAACGGTTGACCAATCCCAACAGGGCCGGCCAGCTAACCAATCAGAGCAGACTGGGCTCTGGTTTCAGACAGAGGGTGAAAAGAGGTGCTGCAGCACAGGCAGTATGAGAAGAATAAAGAGCTTTTTGAACATTAAAGAATGGAGAGGCACAACATACTAATATGAACTTGGAAATGCCCATAATATATCCTCTTTAAAACAGATTTTAACAACTTAAAGTGGACCTATCATGCTATATTTGAATAATATAGTGTAGGACCATACCTATATAAGGCATATTTATACTTTTTATTTTTCAAAATACCAAACAGATCATGCATTTTAGCCATTCCTCATTTCGCTCAATTTAACACTTTCTTTGCATGGGCTGATTCAGTGAGAACAGCACCATCTACAGGCCTGGCATATGTACTACAGCGTCTCCAGCGCTTTCGACCGGCAATGTCCGTGGCTGTCTCCTCCTGATTGGTGGAGTTGGCCCAATAGCCGTAGCGCCACTTCTGTGACGTCATAGAAGTGTTCAAATCTGGATCAGTCTGTATCAGATCCGTTGCAGCCCCTTTTTAAGAGATTTGGGTATGGAGGAAAATAGAGAGGGTTGTGTTTTCTGACACTTGGTGAGTTCCCTGGAACACCGGGGACACATGTTCATGTAGAAAAGACGTACAAAAGTGCATTTTGCATGATAGGTCCCCTTTAACTTTCAGCAATTTCATATAAAGATCAGATTACTTGATGAGTCGACCTCCAAACAGAATGTCTGTTTCAAGGTTACAGGGATGGATTCAACTGGCATCTTAAAAGTCCCCTATATATAAATATATCAGTTACATGTCAGCCTTGGACAACAACCCTACGATTGTTTCCACGTGTTTTGGAATAATGACATCATAAAAAATGCTGTCAGAAGGCTGAGGGAGATCTATTTTTAAGAATAAATATATGTGCGTTTGAACAGGTGTGGAGCTTCTCCTCCAGACATTTTGAGTTTGGCTCACCTCTCCACACTCGCAGTAAAACAATGTGCTTATTCAGACGGGCTATTTATGTAGCCGCGGTTAGGTCAGCCGCATGGGGAACATTTTTAACAATGCTTCTCAGGAGGGTGACTTGCTACTTAAACATATTAAGTATTGAGTTTAATTATTTGAAATGCATGTTGAATGGGTGCGATGTAGAAAGTTCCACACTCCCTCCTCCTGCCTGGCTACAATCCCATTCTTTCTTTCCAAGTCCTTTCAAAGGGCCAGCTGCACATTCAGCCTCTGTATGCCATATCTACACCTCTGCTGTATATGGATACCGCCCAAAGTCATGCTTCTGTTTAAAATCTGCCAACATATCCAACATCATGGTGCCTAGATTCCCTGTGTGGTTGTTCCTTGCGTCTTCACATTGAGCAGTTGACCTCACAAAAGGATCAGGAAAGAGACATTCGAAGAGGAGAAAGTGAAGAATACCATCTGGTTAAAGAAAGGCACTGACTGGAAACCCAGAAAGAATGCGCAGTGTATGAGGGTTGTCATGGCAGAGGTATTAAACGTGTATTTGCTTTAATGCGTGCGGTCAGTCCCCGTCTGGGTAGAAAAAGGAAAATACCACAGCGGCAGGAATGCTGCGGGTGCTGGTTTCAGCATTAGGCAGCATTAAGTCAAAGCCCAAAGCATGCTACCAACACAGCGTCTCAGGGGCAAGCTTAGCACCTTTAAATCAGCCTGCTCAGATTTGGAAGAAAAGCCATCATCAAATCTACATACAGTAGGGGCATTTTAAATCAGCATGCGTGACCTTGTTAAAATCATTCACTTTTTGTCAAATATATCAATTTGTTAAAAACTGCTTAGTGTTAACTGTAATTCAATAGCAATTCAAAACACATTTGAGTTGACTTTTTTGTTGTCAAGCACCCAGAGGTCATACACACGTCTTACCTCCCGATTATCCCTGAGGAAGAGATGAGATTAGCAGCAAATTCAGTTCTGGTACTTTGAAATCCAGACAAAGACAAGTTCAATCATCCTCCCACAACCATAAGCACACTTAATACAGCGCTGTCCATCATGTGACTACATATCTCCTCCGTGATTGGTTGGGATTGTCAGTTCTATTGTTGGAGGCAGTTGATGATTTACACCTGGATAGGAATGCTGCCTTTAAGGGCACCTTGTAAACTGTTACATTCGAGGACTGACATTGGAAATACAAACTCCACCTCAAGGTTTTGTTCAGTTGACGATAAAATAATCTCGAAAAATCATTGAGTAGTTGATTGCTGATTTTCTTTGTAATCAAACTGGCCGAGAGACGCTATGTGCTGCTGAGGTCGAAGTAGGCTATGTACAGTAGAAAGGGCCCGCAACACACTGATTGTTACATAATTCCTGACAGCACCTGAAGGCAGCAGAATAATAAAACATGTGTTTTTGTAACATTCATACTTTTCATTTTTTCTGTTATGTTTATATTCATGTGGAACCTACTTGCAGCAGGTCACCCTTGAAAAAGAGATCGATGATCTCAATGGGATTCACCTGCATAAATAAAGGTTTGAAATGAAATGAAATTCATATATTTTGTCTAACTTGCAGGGAAAAACCAGACTGTATAAGGAAATCTATATATTGTATTTGGCACCAACAAAGGCTGAAAATTAACTCAAATATTTTTGAAATTGTCTTAATAGTAAGTTATTTCATAAGAAAGTAAATACAAAAATGATGGTAATTTTTTTTTTTACACAAGTCTATATACTCCCATTGACATCCAGTTCACTTTCAACATACCACACATTAACACAGTTAGCTAGCTCAGAAAACCAAAGTATTCTACCACATAATGGGAAAAAAGACTCAAGTATGTTTTGTAATATTATTACAAAACATACTTGACTCTTTTTTCACATTTCCCACTCAGGGATCCCACACTTACCTCAATGCACTGCTCAATTCCCCACGTAAAATGCAGCCGAGAAGCGCCCTCCTCTTTGAGCTAACATTAGCAGTTAGCCATGTTTTCACGAACAACCGCTCCCCATTACATTTATATTATTTTACCAGAGGTTTGTTTTATAAAAAGTATCCCGCGGCTGGTGTGCAACACTTTGTGTAGTCGCATGACCGCAGTAGCAGTCTTTCAGAAACACTAACTTCTGCTAATTAGCGCTAACAACAACAGCACCTGTGGACAGCCAATCAGAATGCAGCAGGGTTACAGTAAATCAATGCCTACCATTTTTTTTTTTATCACTACATTTATTTAGGATGGCATAGCGTTGTTTTCAGGACCTGAAGGCACATGACACAGATAATTGTTGTGGCCCTGTCCAGGAAAGTGGAATAAAAACACACATTTCAAAACTATCCTATCAGCCAATGATATAGGGTAGTTTTGAAAATTGATGAGTTTCTGAGTATAGGCTACAGTACTGCACTACATTTTACAGTTTGTTAGAGCTGTGTACCTTTGCTTTCAATTCGAATCCCTGTATCTACAACTGTTGAATATTTGTAATAAACTGAGGGATGATATGTTTCTTTAAGGGTTGAGTAAATTCTCCTACTTTGAAAGCAAATTCAACTACTTTAAAATCCTCTTGGATCAAGTCGAGATGCACCATCACAAAGCAGTTTTTCTGAGCTCATGAGAAGTTAACAGCGAGAAACATATGATGATCTTGAGACATTGCTTTAGAACCACCTACCTATATGCTAAATATGAAGGAGTTAACAATAGCACAACCTTAAGTAAAATGATGGAAGGAAACTTAACCATGTGGAATACCTCAATGTCTTTATTGCTGTTTTTGAGTGAAGCGTACAATGTTTAAAACATTCATCCAGTTGGAAACTGCCCATTTGTATGAAATTGGGAGTGTTTAGAGAGGCTACAGATAGTGTGTTTTGCATAGGCTTCGCGCTACACAAACAAGTGTCTGGTTAAACATGGAAGAACTTTAAAAAACATAAAATGGACACAAAGGTTGTAAAAAACAAAAACAGTACGGCATTATGAAACCACTGTATTTAAAAAAACAACAACAACATAAATCTCACATTAAATCACGCTTGAAAATGTTTTGGTCAAGCTCCCCTGCTCTTTTCAGGAGCCATGGAATGTGATTGTCACACTTTTGAGCAGTAACATCAATTTAATGCCCCGGCAAATCGTTAATATTATCAAAGCTTGTGCCGCGCAAAAACTATAAAATGGAATGTGCTACTTAAGACCATGTAAGTGAAAGATAAGCAGGAGAAATCACAAGTCTTAATATTATACGGCGTTGCTTTGAGGCTATCATGTACTGTACCTCAGCTGTCATAAATGTGTCCATTGCAATCATATGCCAGAAGACATAGTGGTAAATATCCTTGCATTGTACTAGTTTCTTGCTATATGCTTAGGCACCCTGATTTTACTTCGTATGCCCTCAATGATCGCTGAGCATAAGAGTGTGCATAGAGGCAATAGAGAAGTTAGTAGAAGTTAAAGTAGATAAAAAAAAGTGGGTTGGAATGCCGATTTCCTACATTGTAAAACCTACAGCGAAGGCACCGTGTGCAGCTGCTTCTTAAAGAGGAATGTTTGAAGATTTTAAAGTGATCAAACAGGTACAAAAGCTACAAAAACAGCTAGAATTATAGAAAAGGACAAAACACATTAAAACATAAATAAAATGACATGAAGGATAATAAAAGTCATAATGGCCTTCTGAATATTCAACACTCCTATCGCCACCGAAATTAACTGCCTTGTTGGTGAATACAAAATAAGCAAAAAATACCTTTTGTTGCGAGTATAAAGATGTTATATAAGATACAGTATGATATTCAAAACATCACATGTGCTAACATATATTACTCAGACCATTGCTGCACTATTGGTAAGACATAATAAAAGTGAGATCAGCTAAAATCTACAAGTGCTTATATTTCTATCCTGAACTGGTGAACGTTGAATAAAATAGCAATGTGTGAAGCTTTTGCTTTAAATATAAATAAAATAGGAGATGGAAAATGAACTGTGGGAGGGAGAGAACGGATTTCAACCATCTCTTTGGAATGTGGAAACTACTCCGTCTCTATCAACCGTCGGCATGGAGAACAACACATAAATCTAGATTTAATTAGGTTTTTTTTCTTCCTGGCAGGATCGTATAGAGTAATTAGTAATAGTAATTACAAATGTCCAAATTTCACAGCATTTTGTTTCTTTTAGAAAGCAAAAATCATTGTGCAAAGGCACTACACGTGGCAACCGTACACAAATATGATGCTGTTTCGGTACAGTGCGTGGACAGCGTGTCTCCTGTCCCTCCGTTTTCTGGGGTGGTCATTTTTTGGTTCTTAAGAAAAAGTCAAAGGAAGAGTCTTGGATTGTCGTGGTCCCCAGCTTTAGTGGCTCCTTCATGACATTAGTGTCCCATACCTGGAGAAAGAAGAAAAAACCAGTCCATCAGCGGCTTCACTCTGAGTCTCAGACAGCTGTGGGTTAACAACTCTGACCTTTACGACACACAGGGTTAAACAGAGCAACAAACACCACGTGCAGCGCAGTGTCAAGGCCACTCCATGTTAAAACATTAACAGAATCAAACTCAAAAGGAAAAAACATCATATCTTTTCATTATCTATTTCCTAAATAATTATACTTTTATTTCCTTTTTCCCGGGTAGAAAATCTTAAAATAACTTTATTAACCAGGGAACAACACAGAGGGATATTTTGGGGGTGTTATCTTGACCGACTGTATTTGGCTGCCCCACTTTAGCATCACATAGACCCTCACAACTCACATTTAGAATGTTAAGGCTCTAAGAGATTAACAACATGGTGATAGACAAAAAATAAATCATTCGATTAGTCTGAAAACCTTGAAAAATGTACGCAAGTAAATCACTGCACTTTCGGAAAATCATCAGACTTCATGCCAACAACTCAGAAACTTAGCTGAGATGACATTATTTGTTTAAGTCCTGTAATACAACCGAGCATGTGGAGCGTGTGGCTGCTAACGCGCATGTGGTCTTGTGAGGTGTCAAATGTCTGTAAGGTCCCGCAGCCAACTACGAGCACTAAATACTAAATCTATACAAAGCCTCTGTCATCCTCTGAGTCAGAGTGTGATGGTGTGCTAATCTCCAACATACCAGCTATTAATGTGACGGACACGCTTGGCAGGAGCGCTGCAGCGAACACTCACACAGGAGAGGCCGGGGTGTGAGCAGTGGACTACACACTGAAGTGAATAAGCTGAGAGGTTTAAGTGGCGTCAAGATGGCTGTTGAGCATGTCTACAGTCAGAGGAGATATTGGTGTGTATCTATGTGTGTGATGTTGTGTCCTTAACAGCCAACACTCAGAAATGTAAAGAATCCCTCAAGGCCAAAGCCCCTCTTCTGTCTGTTGGGAGAACAAAAAGAGGAGGAGGCTGCACTCACGTCTGATTTCAAAATAGCAAGCAATGTTAAAGTGGCATCCTAGCACGCTGCGGAGCAAAAGGCCAAACGGCGATCTGAAAAAGACTGCAGGCGAGGCCATGGAAGGGTCGGTTATTGGTTTTGTGACACATGGTGTCGTATAAATCAAAGAAGCGGTGACAAGATGACACATTCAACAAGAAGGTCACACCTTCCTCGGGAAAAATGTACTGTTTTTGCTGAAGTGCTGTGTACGGGAGCACTAAGAGGAAAATGAGAGGAAAACAATCTGTGTATTAATGAGTTGAGAAGGTTTCTCAGGAACATCTTTCTAAATTACTCAGTAAAAATCATATGTGATGTGATACGAAATAAGTTTGCAGATATGTTTCTAATCAAGTGAGAACAAAGTAAACAGCTTTCAAGGTCTGATCTAAATTGTTTTCTCTACCAAGTTTTAAAAAGGTGACTAAACATTTTGGCAGGTTATTTTCCTGTAGTTGTCAGGATGGTTTTTGTTGTTGTAATGCTAATTTCAAACACAAGAGATGCAACACTACCCTGTGCTCTAAATGAGATTAAGAGAGTTCATGTTCTCCATTG